TTATTTCCTACAAATTGGGGGCTCGTCCGGGATTAGAACTTAAACCGAGTCATAGCAAAACGCCTAGTGTGAACATTCCGAAATTGTGCAACTAGAGAGTTGTTAGTAAAGTATTTTGAGAACAGAGTTTACTTAGAGGGCTGAGGTGTAAGTGTAGAGTGAAGACTGCGAGGACTAGTGTTGAAAGTGGCAATTTATAGTTGTGGTGGTCAATAAAATGGCTTCAGTAAGGAGGAATCCAAGTGATTTCTGCATCGCAGAATTGAAAGAAAAATTACGAGAAAAGGGACTTTCAACTTCTGGTTTGAAGGCGGAACTGATTCAGCGTCTGCATGAGGCCGATCTGACCGGCGAATGGTTAACAATGTGTACAGACGGCGCGGTTGAAGAAATTGCGAGTGAGAATGGTTCAGGTTGCGCGAGTGATATGGTACAGATGCGACGAGAAATTGAACTTTCGCAACGGGAAAAACAGTTGGTAGAGCGAGAGCTTGAATTAGCTCGTCAGCAAATTGGTTTACTTCGAGAAATGCAAAGGCTTAATCTCGATAGAGGTGAGGCAGGAGAATCTGCAAGCGTACCGACGGGGCAAAAACGACCGCCACCGGTAAATATTTCTGCCATTGCGGATTTATTAAGTCATTTTGATGGGAGCAGCAGTACATTCGTCACGTGGGAGCGACAAGTTCAAACACTGAAAATGACATATCAGCTGACGGATGATATGACCAAATTGTTAATGGGATCGCGACTGAAGGGTAATGCACTGGAGTGGTTACACTCGAAGCCTGAACAAATTGCGATGTCGGTAGAAGAACTACTGAGGAATTTCTGGAAATGAGACGACGTTTTGAGGCACGTGTTTGGAGGAAAGAAGAAACGTTTAGTGAATACGTGCATCAAAAAGTTATATTAGGAAACCGCGTGCCAATCAGTGACACGGAAATTATAGAATATATCGTAGAAGGAATACCTGATCGTGGATTAAGAGATCTGGCACGAGTGCAGAAGATTGCTACTAAGGGGGAACTGCTAGCAGCATTCAACAGGATTTCTTTGCAAGGAAGATCGTTGCCGTTCAACCCAGCGACCATGCCAAAAGAAAATAAGTGGTTACCGATGAAAACAGTGAAACAAGACGCTAAAGAAGTGCCGAATAACCAGTTACGATGTTTTAATTGCGGTGAGAGGAACCATCGAGGTGTAGACTGCCCCGTTAAAAGCAAAGGTCCGAGATGTTTCGCCTGCCGGGACTTTGGTCACAGAGCCGTAGATTGTACGAAGGGGCAGAATAAGCAGGTAAATGAATATACGGCAGTGGCCGTTCGGGGCAATAAGATATACAAGCCGGTAATATTATTAGGTAAGCAGGTAGTAGCGTTTATAGATATGGGCAGCGATTTGCACTTAATGAATGTCGATCAATATATCAGGTTAGGATGTCCAATTTTACACGGTACAGAAATATCTTGTAAAGGATTTGGTTTAAGTAAAGTCACTACTTTAGGCAGTTTTTACGCGAACGTACAAATTGATAAAAATATTTTCCGATTTTTAATTCATGTGGTACCGGATGAATATTTAAGACACAATTTTTTGATTGGCTCAGAGTTATTGCATGAGGCTAAATTAATGTTAGACGGCAAAAGTGTTGAGGTTTCGAAACGCGATAATAAAGTAACAAATTCTTATGATGTACCGGAAATATTTTGCATAAATACTTTCGATGAGTCCGAGAACAACATAACTGATTCTGTAATAGATTTGCAACATATTAAAAATGATACCGTTAAACAAGGGATAGAATACAGTATTGTCTCTCTATAGCCGCGCGTTTTCGGATTCTCTATAGACGCGAAGCTATCCCCACTACTTCGTTTGTAATCACCGCGCCGCGACATCGGGTATCGGATATCAAACAGAAAGCCGAAGAAAAGTCGACGAGCCCCATCCCCCTTGAACGCTCGAGCGTCAAATCAAAGAAAGCCGAATAGACTACTCGTCTCTCAAGTTGCGTGCGCCCGGGCCCGACACGCGCGGCTATAGAGAGACAATACTGTATATAATAAATAGTTATGAGCCTAAAACCATTAAAGAGTCTAACATTAAAATGGAAATTGTATTGAAAGATGATATACCTATATATCAACCTCCACGTAGATTAGCGCCAGTGCAAAGAGAAATAGTTAACAAGCAGATAGATGAATGGATGCTACAAGGAATAGTGCGGGAAAGTACGTCGGAATACGCTAGTCCGATTGTACTTGTAAAAAAGAAAGATAATGGAATGCGTTTGTGTATAGATTATAGATTGCTTAATAAGAAAGTATGTAAAGATCGTTATCCGCTTCCATTGATAGAGGATCAGCTGGATCGATTACAGGGCGCGACGATATTTAGTACCCTTGACTTAAAAGATGGTTTTTTCCACGTCCCGATTGAGGAAAATAGTTGTAAATACACTGCATTTATAGTACCTGATGGGCATTTTGAATTTTTAAGAACCCCATTTGGCCTCTGTAATTCTCCAGCTATCTTTCAGAAATATATCAATAGCATATTTCGTAACCCGATACAGACAGGTGTTGTTTTGACGTATATAGACGATTTAATTATTCCTGCGAGTGACGAAAATGAAGCCGTATCGAGATTGAGTGAGATATTGTGTATTGCAAGTGATTATGGATTGCGAGTAAATTGGAAGAAATGTCGTTTTCTTCAACGTAGCATAGAATATCTAGGTCACATAATTGAGGATGGTCACGTACGTCCGTCGAAGCGTAAGACAATAGCTGTTATGAATTTTCCATTAGTAAAAAGTGTTAGAGACGTACAGAGCTTCTTAGGATTAACTGGGTATTTTCGAAAATTTATTCCACAATATTCAACCATAGCCCAACCTTTGTCGAACTTGTTGAGAAAAGACGTAAAATTTGAACTAAATGAAAACCACATGCTAGCGTTTCAACAGTTGAAAATTGCATTGAGCAAGGAGCCGGTTTTAAAATTATACCGCGTGGGTGCGGAAACAGAGCTCCATACGGATGCGTCGAGTGTCGGGCTCGGTGCCATCCTGTTACAGAAGGACGATGTCGATCAACGTTACCATCCAACATATTATGCGAGTTGGAAAACATCAGAGGCAGAATCGCGATACATTAGTTATGAATTAGAGATATTAGCTATAGTTAAAGCGTTACATAAGTTTAGAGTTTATCTTTTAGGGATACCATTTAGAATTGTAACCGATTGTCGTGCGTTTACTCTTACTATGAAAAAAAGAGACTTATGTGTTCGAGTTGCAAGATGGGCATTATTGTTAGAGGAGTTCAATTATACTATTGAACATCGCTCAGGAAGTAATATGCGACATGTCGATGCGTTAAGTCGAAAGCCTGTTCCGGTGTGCATGCTTATTAATGAGTGCGAGACTAGTGTGCTTGTGAGATTGCGAAAAGCGCACTGTGCGGACAAAGAATTATCTGAAATAATGGATTCTGTGAACGGTGCACAAAATAATGGTGGCGACTACGTAATAAGAAACGGACTTTTGTTTAAGGTGATTGACGATGATGTTCGCATAGTGGTGCCGCGCGCTATGCAAAATCAAATAATAAGACAGTTACATGAGAACGGACACTTCTCTAGTGGTAAAACCGAGACCCTTGTTAGAAAAGACTATTGGTTCAAAGGTCTAAGACCTAAGGTGGAAAAAGTGATTCAGAATTGCATTGCGTGTATTTTAGCTGAACGGAAGTCTGGAAAACGAGACGGACTATTATATCCTATCGACAAAGGAGACGTTCCGTTAGATGTGTACCACGTTGACCACCTAGGACCTCTCCCCTCAACTCGGAAGAATTATAAACACATATTCGTAGTAATAGATGGATTTTCTAAATTTGTGTGGCTTTATACTACAAAATCTACTGGCACTAGAGAGGTCGTCAACCATTTAAAAAAACAAGCGACAATTTTTGGCAATCCCCGGAAGATTATTTCGGACCGTGGAACTGCATTTACTTCGGCAGAGTTTCAGGAGTACTGCAGAGAAGAAAACATTGAAGCTGGCCTTATCACGACGGGTATGCCAAGAGCGAATAGCCAGGTAGAAAGAGTGAACAGGACGATCATTCCTGTCTTAATTAAATTGGCCGCACCGAAACCTGATGAGTGGCACAGGTACCTAGCCATATGCCAAAACTACCTGAATGCAACTCCTCACCGCAGTATCGGCACTACACCTTTTAAGCTCCTATTCGGGACTGATATGAGGTTGAAGAACAATCCCGAGGTCCGAGAAATAATAAGCAACGAGTGGAACGAACTATTTCAAGAAAATCGAGACGAATTGAGACGGCAAGCAAAAAGCAACATTTTGAAAATCCAACAGGAAAATCGGCGTAGTTTTAACCGGAATCGTAAAGAGGCTCATCGGTATCAAGAGGGAGACTTGGTCGCTATTAAAAGGACGCAATCAGGACCAGGTCTAAAGTTCGCGCATAAATACTTAGGCCCGTATCAAATTACCCGTGTACTGCGCAATGATCGGTATTTGGTCGAGAAAGTAGGTGAGCACGAGGGACCACGACAAACGTCGACAACTGCAGAGTACCTGAAACCCTGGATTGAGGACTTAGAAGATGCATTGGCGTGAGAACACATCTGATATCTGAGGGCAGATATCTCTGCAGGATGGCCGAATGTGGTGTGTATGTGTGTGTGTGTGTGTGTGTGAATCATGAGTGGTATGAGTGAGTAACGAATACTTGGAATCGAATGATTGTTTGTGAAAGCGGTGTCGATATCGATGGCGACAATGTTGCGTGTGACGTCGTTCGTTTGGAAGTCGCGCGTGTGCTGGCCCTGTAAAAAGGCAGAGTCGAGCGAGTCGTCGAAGAGTCGACACGAGAGTTGAGACGTAGCGTGTAATTACTATTTTCGTTTTGTTATATGTTTAAATAAATTTAACGTTCTTTATCTACATTTTAATTTTATTTCCTACACTATTGTAAACAACCGTTTTAGTACAGATCGTGTACCCTGCATTGTCGAATAATAAATTATAGTTCGCTTATTTTATATAAATATAAATCTAGTTATCGGATAATCGAAGATAATTGCTATCGTGGAAAAAATCGCACTAAATATTAACAAGAAGAATTGTTCGTACAGATCTTCCAACTGTGATTATTATAAAATTGGCGTATTGTTTCTAGACGTTTTGGTGTGGCTCAGCTCTTCTTCTGCTTAGACTTGTAGCTCTTTTGGTAGAAGTTATAGAATAGCATGAAATTTATAGACAAGTTGACTATAGATACAGTGGCTGGTACCTTTGTCACTTCGCAATATGGAAGCAACGATATGGTGTTTTGGACCATCAGTACGATAAACTGTGCCTGTTGTGACAGTAAAAAAAACTTTGTTAATCAATTTAATCTTACGTACCGACAAATTTATCGTTACGAATTCATAGTTGGTCGTTACTTGCCATTTGCATTATCGTCAGCCACGGTTTGAACGGATTTATCACTCTCCGCGTCTTCTCGCCAAACGTGCTTAAGTAATAATACGTGTACATGATCACGTGGATGAAACAATTCACTAAGACCATGAACGACGCCATTGCAACTGCAATGTATTTCGTTGACAGCCAAATTAGCAACAACGTCGACACGTGATGGTACACGTGCAAAACGGTGATCTGGTTCTGTTTTTTCCTCAGCACGAACACGACCGTTTCAGTCAGATCGATCATTTTTAACATCATCGCAATCCACATTGTGAAGGACAACTGAAACGACGAACAGAATCATGGATATTAATGCAATCGGTTATATCGTGTGTACAGTGATTAACAATACGAAATACTAACTTCGTTTAAAACATAGGTTCGTATCGAATAATGACGTTTGATAATTAATACATACTAGCAACCTCTTCTCTGAATTTTTAGTTTCGATAGTCGAAACGGATCTTCTTTAAATAATCTTTTTTAAAAAAATTCTCAAGATCAATCATCGCTATCGAACAATTTAGTATAATACGTGAAACTTGAAGGATGAAAGATCTAGGATATATTCACTGTAGCAGTTTATCGGATGTTTCACTTATATAAAAATGTTCGATCGCTCGCGAAGGTGATCTAATCGTTCTGAGCGGCTTATTATAATAACGTTGAAAGATTATCTTGATCTCTCAGTACCTTGAGGGGACCAGGATCGTAAGAGTAATCCGGCATCTCGCAAAACATCGTTATTTCACTGAACCAACCAGCTTCGATGAATTGTTGTATTATATACGCGTTGGTGAATATTTGAAAAATATTGTAGAATTTCACGTAGGTTTTCAGTTCGTACGGTTTCTTGTTCTTCATGTACTCGGGTCCACATTTTAAAACGAAGTACAGGTATGAAAATAGGATAACCGGGATGAGAATGGGCGAACCAACGAAAGGCAAGACGTTCGTTCGTGGATCTGAAATAACGAAAGATAACGATTATTTGAAAATATAAAAAGAAATTAAAAGTAAAATGTTCGTTGGTTGGTTTCTGATTTTCTTTTTCAAATGCCTAACTATATAACATTTTTATTTTCTACACTATCTTGGTATCGATCATCGGTTACTCACCAGCATTTTGGTTCCAATAATAATCGTAAATTTCCATATAGTCCATTTTCGTCACTTGATCTTCCTTCTTACTCAAGGCACACGAAACACGCGAGATATTTAACCGAGCAACTTTGTCAGCATTAGGTGTATTTGAATTTATTTTATGTTCTTAACGAGACCACCGTGTAAAGTATCGTAAATATTGGAGCGTAATAAACCGAGCTTGATTATAGTATTAGCTTAAATGTCCTTCGATCGGTTCGGCCGGGTCGTATTTATAAAGGCGACATTGCACACACATGGAAGACTTGCGTCACGATATTGCCCGTTAATATGTACATTGATTTAACACGGTCTTTGGAAAGTCATCAAAGATCAGAAAGCTAATGTCAAGCAAAAGTTTCACGTTTAACGTGGCGAGCCGCATTAATGTGCCCTTATTAATTTGATTTTCATCGGCGGTATAGCACTATACGGATTTTCGGCACTTGGAAACTTCGCAAGCTTTAAAAACTAGTAATGCAAAATTTAATGATAAAATCGTATAAATTATTCACCCCATATATGTACACGTGAAAGCGTGACGTAAACGAACAATTATGCAACGACACTGTTGCTATTTAAATTAATGATAATTAATAAAATGAGCTTATGTAGAAGAGGAGAGTAGAAAATAGTTTGGATAGGCGTGGTCGGAAAAGAATTTACTACTGCCCGGGTTCCGTTTGTCCCTTTTTCTGTTTATTGTTCCTGCTACAAGGTTTCGCACGCACTCTCGCTCCTCGTTGCGAGTCCGCGCTATTTACATACTAACAAGGAACCATCGCGAACGGTCCGGCTTCGATTTTGATGAAACTTTGTACACTTATAAAGCAGCCAAAAATAATCGACACGTATTTTTTTTTAGCTGCGGTAACTCGAGTTTAAAGGGTGAAACCACCCCTTGAAGTTTTGGCTCGAAACGGCTATCTCGAAAACGGAAAGACATACAACAAAATTGTTAATGGGCGAGGTTGATGGTTTCTTATATACAATAACATGGTGTTAAAAAATTTTAAAAAATACAATTTGTTTACAACAAAAAAAATTTATTAACTTAATTTTTCATTTTATTGAAATTTTCATAATGACAAAAAATGACGAGCATTTTATTCCAAATCCATTGGTATGCGATTTTTTAAAATTGCCTCCTACAGTTTTGCAGATTTTGATGATTTACATCTTGCGCGCACATCCATTATGGTAGTAGCCGTTCTAACTTTGATTTTAGTGAAGCATTGTAGGCTTGCACTAAATTATACAGTAACAAGTAACAAGTAACAATAACAGTAACAAGTTTCTTAACAGCAATGAAAAGATTTTTTTGTATGCCCACCTATGACATTGTGGCAAAGGGGGAGCGATTTATAAATTATAAATACATACAGTGTGTATACCAGGAGATAAAGATACACTTATTATTCTCATGATGTACTTGCTTTAAAATACAAATTGAATAAATAAATATTGTCATTTCTGCGGCTCGCCTATCATGCAGTTTACGCACGTTATCTAAATCTTCACTGTTGTGAAAGCATTCTGTGTAATTTGTATAATAAAAATACGTGTCAAATGAGATTAGTATGTGCATCTGTATCTCTGTTATTAACAATCTTTAAAATCGAGACGGTTTTTGTAATAAACATGATAAAATGGGTATATTGAAATGGCGTTTGTATTATACCTTTTGATAACGTGACATATCGTAAAGTTAATTAAATTGATTGCCCTTGTCATGTGAAAATAATATTTGTTGGTAGATAAGTGGGAGAACTTGGATATATGTATATGTAGGTTGTGGTAGAGAGGGGTGAGGAAAAGACGGTAATCTAACCACTTAAATGAGGAACAATATTTAATGAGAATACAATAGGTAATCTGATGGACTTCACACGTGCTTTTTCTTTGGCTCCACCTTAGCGACCGACTCGTCGCGGACGAACAGGACGATCGTCCACTGTCCTCACGCACACACACTGCATACGCGCTCCCGCGCGCACCTACTTTGTAACATTCCCCCATATATATGTTACCGTGAATGACCGAAATTGGAGAATGTCAACTTTCACCAGTGAATGTCAACAGATACCAAATACGTCGGTGAAAGATCGAATATTTCATTACATTGTTGTACATTCGGACCCTCTCCGGTGTGTGTCGACAATCACAGATATGCTCTGGTGGAGGTCCAAAACAGAAGAGTCAAAAAACAAGCGACTGGCTCTCTCCCGCCAAATCCTTTGTTCTGCTCGGAGTCAATTAGCTTTGTCAGTCTTATGCAAGCTTTGATAACGCGAGCAACGTTTTCTTAATTTTTTTTCCGATACCCTAATTTATACTATTGGATACTATTGGATACTGCAGTAAATCGTGATCTTTTTCTAACCCAGACCTAACCCAGACTTTTTTTTTTTTTTTTTTTTTTGTACGTGGGGAAATCCTCATGGACACCCCGAGACCCTATGTAGGGGGGGCCTCGGGGTAGTGCCGGACTCTTACCGGCTAAAACCTCACGGTGACCGTCCTCCGGCGCTGCGGCGAGGGACCCGGAACTCTAGTGAGACATCACAGAGTCCCCCGCCGCGCCTTGCCTGTCGAGGCTCATCCCGGGGGGAAGGACGACATGTCCTTCCCCCCCTGATTTCTCCGCCACGGACGCCAGGTCACCCGACGCCCGCAGCCCGGGGGCTGCCTTCGGTGCTCGGGCCCCTTGCACCGAGCACCTGCAACCCCCAGGGGCGGCCTGCCAATCGCCTGACCACCGACGTGGTGGTCGGAGGAGAGTGCTGGCGGGCCGCCCCACTTCTGGAGGTCCCACTAGACCTCAAGGGCGTCGGAGGGGGCCAGGAGGCGAAGGATGCCTCGCTCTGGCCCCTCTCCGAGCCCTCCCTCTCCGAGCGGGATGCGCGGTCCGCTCGCGCTCCCGCTCGGCGGCCTCCTTCTGTGACATAACAACTTCACAGAAGGAGGCCACCACTTGCCAGGTTTTCTCGCTGGCCACCATCTTTCCCACTATGGTAGCCAGCGAGAGATTTCTTCCCACTTCCTGCTCCAGAACACGGCGCTCATCTACCCACGCTGGGCAGACTTCCAGCGTGTGCTGCGCCGTGTCCTGGGGTCCTCCACAATGGTGGCACACCGCCGTCGCCTCCTTCCCGATTCGACACAGGTACTCACCAAAGCAACCATGCCCGGTGAGTACCTGTGTCATCCTGTAGGACAGCCTACCCGGTTTGTCCTGCCACTCTTGCCAATGTGGCAGGACTGCACCAACGGACCGTTGCGTGGCTCCAGCCGGAATCATTTGCTGGAACCACATAAATACAACGGTCCGTTGGGCATGGCGCCTCGTCTCCTCGACCGCTTGCCTCCTTTCCTCTGGCGGTCTCCCAGCCTCCTGGAGCTCCCTGGAGTGACGGTACACTTGCCGGTTTCTCCAAGCGAGGAGCTCCAGGGGCGGAAGACACGCCAGGGTAGTCGCCGCCTCGTGGGAGATGGTGCGATACCCTCTAATCACCCGGATGGCCAGCCGACGGTTGACGCGGCGCAGCATCTCCGTACTGCGCCGGCTGGCATCCAGGTCTGGGGCCCATACTGGGGCCCCGTAGAGGGCAATTGACCGCACCACCTCCACGTAGAGGCGGCGGACTCCAACATCGGGCCCCCCGATATTCGGGAGAAGGCGGCCTAGAGCGGCAGCTGCCCTCTCCACCCGGGGGGCCAAGCGGTCGAAATGCTCGACGAAGCGCCACCGGCTGTCGAGGATCAGGCCCAGATATTTCATATGGGCCTTCACCTCGACGTAGGCTGTCCCAACTCGGATCCGCAGGCCGGCCGGCGGCACCCCACGGGGGCCAAGTCTCTGAAAAAACATGGCCTCCGTTTTCTGGGGTGCCACCTCCAGGCCTAGTCTGCGGATTTCGGCGACGACAGTGGCCACCGCCACCTCTGCGGCGCGTGCTGTCCCTCTCCAGTCTGACCCGCTGACGAGCACCAGCGTGTCATCGGCATAACACGCCAGCGCAACGTCAGCGGGCAGAGGGGCCCGCAGTACCGAGTCGTACCCGACGTTCCATAGCAGGGGTCCTAGAACCGACCCCTGCGGAACACCGCGTACGACCCCCCTCCGCATGATTACTCCATCCCGGCCGGTGCAACTAATCCACCTGTCGCTATGGTAGGACCCGACTATCCCCTCAGGGGCTGTGTCCGGCAATCGTCGGCCGCAGTACGGGGCGTAGCGACTCCGAGGTACCTGAAGCTAATCACACCGTAAGTTTGTGAACGGTACGTGACGGCAGGAGAAGCGGGGGCCTTGGCTTAACCGCCTGGGCCAAGAGTATGGCGACTCTATAAAATCGCCCTCCAATCCTAAGCTATGGTGCGCGGCGATGGGATGCATGGTTGGGGGAGAGGGCCCAATCCCAAGCGACCACCTCCGGGGCACCTGCCGAACCCCCGGAGTATTAGGCTTACCCGGGTAAGGCGGCTCTGCCCGGGTGGACCTTTATTTCCGACCTACGCGTGGGAATTATATGGATTCACAAATTAAAACGGGGATGGGACGGGTTGTTTCGGTTGAGGAGGACGAAGACGGTGCTGGGGCTGGAGTGACGGTGCTCGCGCCTCACTCAGCGCCTGGCCTGGCTTCGTGGAAGGTGGAGGAGGACGACGAGACTGCGTCAGTCTCGTCCTTCTCCTCCACGAGGAGCCACATAGGCTCCAAGAGGAAGCGGACGGGGCAGGCCGTCGACGAAGTGGGCAAGGCGATGAGCCCGGTTGTGATGTTGAGCTGTCTCAGGGACGAGGTAACCGAGGAGATATCCGAGAGGATCTCCTCGTCCCTGAGGCGGGTCGAGAAGGTTGCCGCAGCCTGCTCTCTAAAGGGGCAGAAAAGCAGCGTGGCTAAGGCCCTGCGAGAGGCTGCGCAAAGTGGAGGCGGCGCAGGAGCTGAGCGGGCGAAATGCCCGGCTGCAGCTCCTGGTGGAGGAGGAGCGACGGGGGAGGATGAGGGCAGAGGCGCGCTGGAACAGCGCAGCCCTCCCTCCTATCCTCCCTCCTCCTCCGCCTCCACCACCACGACCCACGGTCGTGGAAAAAAAGCGGAGTGCGGCGGCGGTGTTGCGGGGACCTTCCATCCGCACTCCGCCCGTGCAGAGTTCCCCATCCTCCTCAGAGGACGAACTTCTGAGGAGGATC